GCAAATATCGTTATTTTAAGCATATCTAATTATACATGCACCGATAATGTATGAAATTTGCAACAATATATAAATGTTTGCGAAGCCATTCAGCAAAAACTACTGTACGATGTACATAATATATGTACTCATTGTGTCTAAATCATTAACTGTACGAAATTAAAAGTTTTGGAAAACGGCATTACCTTACAGTTGTTTTTGCAAAACTCGGAAATAAGATGCATACCTTTCCCAGCGAAAGTCAAGTATTCATGAATGAATTATACAAATATCGATGATGCATTCAGATCTTTTCAGCCGGCAAAAGCGAGACAAATTGAACGAAAATTAAATCGATGTCCATAAAATCGGCCTATACGTCCATGATTAACGATTATTATCTCCACCAAAATTTAGTCAAACAGTCAGTTGAAAACATAACCTGACAGAGGCAAATATGTCATGTTGACGAGATAAATATGTTTTGGCAAAAATAAGATGGCCTGGCAAAGTTTTGGAACAAAAACACTCTTGTTCTATTGAAGGTTCAGTGACATGTTATGGTGATATGGTGAAGAATGCCAATTGTCCTAAAGATCAATACATGGTGGTCAAGTTTGCATCTTATCGTGGATTGCTTGGCACAAAGACATGTGGTTTAAGTGATGGTTATAGTTGTGAAGTTGATGTAACATGTCTTGTTAAGAAACAATGTGATGGTCAACATGAGTGTAGTATAACTGTGGATGATAATTTGTTTTCTGGTGATCTATGTCATGGATTGTCGAACTATCTTTACTTTCTTTATCAATGTATTGATACCGTGAAACCTCACAAAGAACCTTGTGGTAAGTCTGGGCATAAACATAGTTCCATTTATGGTTGCAACTTATACTGTTTCAATCAACGTATCTTAAAGAAAACTTTGTTTTCAAAATTGTTGGTATTGTCAGTCTATTTTAGTGTTTCGTGTAATTGGTCATTGCAGTTTTGATTTTGTTATCTCTTGATATATTTTACTCATGTCAATGTTAATATTTTTCCACAAAAATGTGACTATTTGAATAAATAGTCTGAACTAATAAGTATTCACCTGTCGTGTGCATGTTCCCCACATATCAGTGACATCATATAAACTATCCAAAGACCAAAGGACAAAAATGTCTTTTTGGATTCTCTATGGTGACATCCACTATAGCTTTGCATGGCAAAATAACCAATAACCTTATTATTTTTGTAGTTCATGACATATTTCTGTCATACTCACCACTACCTTACAAAGGTATTGTACAAATTACTACTGGTGGTAGGACCAAGAATGTTTGTTGGGGAAGTTTAAATAACAACGCTAAGAATATTCTTTGTCGTTATCTGGGATACTACAAGGCATACTCTCTTGTTAATGTGTCCGCTCCTACGGATGCCAAAGACGAAACATTTTCTGGAAGAATAAACTGTGATGGTGGAGAGAAACGTTTATCCCAATGTTCAATTACTGCTTCAGCCAGCCAAAGTTGTTCTGGGTTATCATATGTAGGATGTAAGTATGTTATGATAAAAGTAGATATTAAGAAGGGAACGAATAGGATGCAAAGGTGAAAAAAAGAAAGTAAATAATGAAGAAATAAATGGAAAGAAAATAGGTGAGGGAAGAATGAAAATAGAATGTGATGGGAAATAGACACAGCCACTCAATGAACAACGTCTAGGTTGACAGACATTTAAGTTTTATATTCATTTTTAGGTGGTGTTTCGGACATGGAGTATAGACCACTGTTAGAAGATAACCAGAGCTTTCCTGATTCTTCGTTTAATGCTTCTACTTATTCAGGTCACAGTGCTTCTGATGCAAGGATATCTAGCGGTAGTTCTTGGTGTGCTCCTGTCTCAGATGACAAATATTATCTTCAGGTGGACTTAGGAAAAGTATATCGGCTCTATGATCTCATAACATATGGTGACAGTACTAGCGCAAAATGGGTGTCCACATATAGACTGGATTACACTATTGATTTGGTAAACTGGAAAACCTATAGCTCGGTGAGAATGAATGATATAATCATTCAGATCAGACCGTTATCTGCCTAATATCACAATAACACCATGAAAATATTGGAAATCTCATTTACCTACTAGAATCCCAATATATAAAAATTTCAAAAAGCCTGCTTTTGCTCAAAAACATTCACAAAAATGCCGTTCATGTTGTTTTTTCTTGTTTTTATTCGTGATCTATAATCTAATGCATTTTATCCGGTCTATAATCTCATATGATATGGTGACAGTACTAGCCCAAAATAGGTGACCAAATATATACTGGATTATACAAATGACTTGGTCAACTAGAATCGATTATTACACGGTGAGAATGAATGATATAACTAACAACAATATTAAACAATTATTGGACCGACATCAATTTTATATCTGCTTATAAGCGAGGCTGAGCTAAACATTAAACGCGATAACTGGTAAGTGTTATCAGTCGAGCTGAAGAGGAAGCAATTTTCGTTCCATAAACCGCCAGGCTCACCGGTGACAAACAGTTTCACCTCTTTCAGTGTGCGTCACATCCGGTGAAAATGAAATGAGATATTCATTCATTATCCACTATGACGGGTGGCAAAGCGAAAAACATTTGGGAAATAGGTTTAATTCCTCTAACTAAAGAAATTAAAAGTAATGTTTTCAAGTTTTAAAAAAATTGATAGACCTTGATAGTTCGGGATATACAAGAACGGAATTCACAACGGTTTTATTATACATTGCATTTTCATTAACTTTTTAACAAACAATGTTTTGTCACACACAACAAAGTTCCGTTCTCTAAAAAGCAGTGAAAATGATTTAAAATATCACATATAAAACCATAAAAATTTGGGAAATCTCATTTATCTACTAAAGTTCCATTAAAAATAGCAAAAAATCTTCTCTTGTACAAAAACATTCGTAAAAATGCCGTTCGTGTTTTTTTTTTCTTGTTCTTATTCGTGTATTCAAATCTGCCGCTTGCTATAAAATTACATACCGCCGGCTCAACCTACACATAACAAAGTTATCTACTAGCAGATAACTGTGTTTATTATTTACTTATTCATTTTCTCAACGTAGATTGGCCAATTTTTCTACAAATAACTGGTGAGAAAAATACGTCAGCTGCAAATAACTGGTGCAAATAATGGTCTGAGCATGCGCACTTTTGAAATCAATTTTCAATTGCAAAATATCGATTTACACATGCACATATAAGATTTTTGAAAAACAATTCAAATAAACACAAAAGTAAACATGGCAAAACATGGCTCGTTAAATTTTCAGATATTGTTATTGTACAGATTTGTTGAACTTCGTGACGACCACAAAATTTCGAAAATAAATAAGTAAATGATAAAACAATTATTGAACTCAGTTATCGCAAAATATCGCGATTTGTCAGTGGATCGGAAGAGCAATTATTTGACTGTGTATTCGGCAACGGCAAATAATTGATCTGCTCGCCACTGACAATTCACGATATTTTATTCAACCTCGTCCAATAATTGTATAATGCTTAGTGCGTGTTTCCATATTTAGGTGTGAGCTATTGGCCAATGAGAAGACACGTCCTGACTGCAATGTAGAATAATATAACTTATACCGAATTCTTCCGGACAGTAGCGTATCAGTTTTTTGCTGGTTATCAATCCCTTTCAGATTGACTTGTCAATTTCAAACACACCACAAACGCTATGGGGAGTTTAGTAATACAGCATTTTTTCCTTTCAATTGTTTGTTAAAAGCTAGGTTATTAACGTTTTTGTGAAGTTATTTAAATTTTCAGTTTAATTAATTAATAATTATTAATAATTATTATTTTTAATATAATTAATTTATTTATTAATTTAGAATTTTAATTTGTTTAATTAAAAACAAATTCGCCGCTGATGTGCGATGCATGTTGTCCCTCCCAGTTGCTTATAAAACATTTTTTGCAGTATAAAAGTTAAAAGTGTTTCCCTCGATATAATAATACACCCATTGGATTCATCTTCGCCCAATATGGGAAAATATTAAGTTTCGACTTCAATATTGGGCTCGATCTTTGGTTTCCCCGATGTTCAAATCTCGACTTAATATAAGTTGAGAGAGACTTCGATATTAGGCGTATTAATGAGTATTTTAAATATATTTACCAAACCTAATATTGCGACATTTTGTTGTCCATGATGTATATCTTTTACTATTCTTGTTTGTAGAACCAACAAGGAAACAAAAATGCTTACGATCATGCTGCCGGAATTTATTATCTTCAAGTTAGAGCAAGAGCATTACGTTTCATTCCACTAACCTATGTAGGTCAACCATGTATGAGAGTTGATATTTGGGGTGAAAGTAAGTTACGGCACATTAATTGTTTCTCTTTTGTCACAAAATAACTTTACAGCTGTTACTTCCATATTGGATGAATTCGCATTCACACACTTTAATATTATACCTCATTTTGTGTTTTAATTAATCTGTGTTTATGCGTGTCATGTGAGCATGTCAACATGTAGGATAACTCAACAATCCAACAGTTTAATGTGAAGTTTTGTAGAACCACTGGCAGTAGACGAAAGTCAAATAGAATAATCAAATTTTCTCTAAATTGCAATAAAAATTGGATCAGATATTTAACAATTTGTCTTGCTTTCCGGGCTGAACAAAACTGAATGTATTATTAATGCACTGGTGTAACCAGATTTTCACTCAAACGGGGAGTGGGACAAAAATCCATGAGGGGTCGAAGCATTTTTACCTTGCCGTTAATTTGACTATAGTTTGGTGAGTTACTAAACCTGTTAGAGACTTGTATAATGTGCATGTCCATTCATTATTTAGGATTAGATTTGACTTCCGTTGAACAATCAGGTCTGTTTAATTTACCCGATTAACCAATCACATGCGTAATTAGTCAGTAAATAGTTATGGTAATGGAATCGAATATATCAAGAAACTGACAGAAACATTACATTACAAGTCAAACAAGTATTCACTACCAGATACCATGATTCTTGCTGATTCATCGCTTACCGCCTCGACAGCTAAAACAGATGCTTTCAACAAATTCTTTGCCTCCTTGTTTCTTACACGATCCGACAATCCATGTCTTCCTACTCCTACCACGGATTTCGACAATTCAACTGAGTTGTCTCCAGAGCCCATTGAAGAAGTCCTCAGTCTGTTATCTGTGTTATCTACAGGGAAAGCTTCGGGTCCAGATGCATGGGATTCAACAAGTCGTTAGCCTTGGGTAAGGTTCCTATAGAGTGGAAGTATGCAAATATTGTTTCCGTTCCCAAAACCAAAGCAACTCGCGTAATCCGCATCTAGTGCCCAATATCCTTACTATTCCATGTGACTAAAGTCCTTGAGCATGCGATCCATGCGAAACCCTCTAAATCGTCAAACCTCTACTCCACTCCCAACAACATGGCTTTCGTTCAGGAAGATCCTGTATCACCCAACTACTTGATGTTGTACACAATATTGGCAAGGCGTTAGCCTGTGGAAAAGAAATTGACATGATATATCCGGACTTTTCAAAAGCGTTTGCAACAATTTGGAATGACGGACTGCTTTTGCACTGGAATAGCGACTATTTATTGGGACGAAAACAACGTGTTGTAGTGCAAGGTGTTTCGTCGAGCTATCTTGATGTGACACCTACAGTTCCACTGCAAGGAAGTATTGTAGGCCCCCTACTCTTCCTAGTCTATGTTAACGACCTCCCTGACACTGCTGAACACAGTAAAGTACCCATGTTTACCGACAGCAGCAAATGTTATCGATTCATAAAAACGCCGCACGACACTCAACTCCTTCAGTCCGATCTGCATTCCCTTTGCAATTGGTCGTCTTCCTCGGTATTGAAGTTTAATCTCAAAAAATGGACTGGAATCAGATTCTCCCGTAAACAATTAGTTGAGTCACCCGAATACAGTTTAAACCACGAACTGATAACCACTAACTCATCTCAAAAGGACCTTGGGATAATAATTAGTAACAACTTAAAATGGTCACTTTACATAACCAATATCGTGTCAAAGGCAAATCAGATGCTTGGTTTTCTCCAACGTAACTGTATCCACCTGACTGATATGAAATGTCGACGCTGACGTCACTCTATTTGGCACTCGGGAGAGCTCATCTATGTTATGGAAGTGATCTTTGGGTTTCTTAATCAACATCAAAGGACCTTCTCCGTATGGTGTTCAATGACGAGCTCCTACGTTGCCGACTGAAACTTCTTAAACCTTCTTTCTATTTCGTACTGGTATGAGATGAAAGATATTATTTGTTTCTACAAGATCAAATCCGGACCGTACGACCTAAACCCCGGAGATTATATCGACCACCCTGCTCATCATCTGACCCGCTTCAGTTCCACCAACTGCTACAGACCCAACCTTTGCAGAACTGCCTATATCAGAAATTCCTTCTTCAACAGAATTGTGCCTCTGTGGAACAACCTTCCTGAAGAACTGTAATCCTCCACCTCCACTGCAATACACAAATATATACTGAAGAACTACTACCAAGACAAACTTGAAACATTCGTTGACGTTGATCGTCCGAGGACATGGAAAACCATTTATTCTAAATGTCGTTCTTGTTCTATTACTTGCGGTTCATAAGACTTGAAGGCGTTCTAAGCTGTTTTTTTAATTTCCAAAATGTTCCTTGTTTCAGTCTGTTTAAATAAATAAAATTAAATTAAAAGCTCAGACAAAAACAACACTTGGGCGATCTATATGTTTGTTGAAATCTTATATCTTTGGAAAATGCAGGGACAGCTTGGAACACATGCATGCATGTTTAGGATGTTTACTGTATTCTGTGACTGTGCTGTACAATGTTGATACATTTATAATGTTTTATATGTATAAACTTTTTTTGCAACTTGGGCATTTCCCAAACTTTCTTTGCAATTTTCACTTTTTAGGTCTCTTCATTTTAAGGTAGTTGACTTAGAAAGGATTGCGTTATATGGGCGGTCCATGTCTACGTAGTTTATATTAATTTAAGTTGGAAAGTGTAAAGGTGGTTTGGAACGCATAAATTAAACTAAATCAAATGTAAACTTCACTATTATATCGTACAGTGAATATGCCGGAGTCCAGGGAATTCTCTTTTATATAAACTTATAATCCAGAGTCTTTACAGCGCCATTTTCTGCGTGATGGCATCATGTTATAGATTTTTGATACCAAAACATTTGAAACATTTGGCACGATAAAGATTTACATCACAGGAAATGAAAATGTAATGCTCGTGCGTTTAATTAATCCGCTTGATTCTTAACTAGTCTGAAGGGGATGGCTAACACTTTCGCGAGCGGGCACCAGTTCTCTGGGCCCCCAATGTGGCAAAAGGTGGCGTACTGCTTCCTGCTTCAGGAAGGCTACTTCAAAATTTGGAGTTTAACGCTGTGTGTATTTTCCAAAATAGTTGTCCATGTCCTTTAAGACAGCTTAATACGCATCGCTTTTTCCTTTATTAATTTTGCCAATTTTTGTGCAATTTTGGTTTCATTTTATGCAGTTTCGGCGCCCCCAAAAGCATTTGGGCCCCATAAAAACCCTTGCAGGGGATGGGGGTTAATCGGCAAGGTATAATATATGTATGTATAACTTGGTGGTGGTATGCAATCTCTGTGTCTTAATTTTTTTAAATTAATATCATTATATCTGCTTTATATCTTCTTTGTTTTTTTTCTGATATGTTAGATCATTCCTCTTTCAGAATTATCCACTACATTTTCAAAATGATATATATTTTTGCAATATAGGCTTGGTAAACGACAAACCTACGAACCTCACCGTCGCTAACATCACGTCCAGAAGTGCTGAAATATCTTGGCTAGATCCTGAAAATCATGGAAGATATGGTCTTTCACGATTTAAGATTGAACTGAAGAAATACTTTGTAATCAGGAGCTTTTTCACACAAAAAGTAAATAAATATAAAATTGATAAACTTACTCCACACACAACATATGAAATATCCGTAGCTGCTGGAAATTACCGTGGTTATAGTGAAGGGACTATTACAACGTTTTTAACATCTGAAGAAGGTAAGATACATATGCATGCACATCTAAAGACTGCAAGGCTAATTATTGCGCAAAATGTGAAAAAAATATTGTCGATTTTAGGTCACTTTTGAAAACAGGGTTTCCGTGTTTATTGTGACTGTATATTGCGAATTACGTGCCTAAAATTTGGAAAATTGGGGGTGGAACATGCAAAGCCTACTTTGCGAGTTTGTTGCTGAAGTATTAAAGTATTGAAGAAAAGTGCAGAACATAAACTCACAACTTGCATGCAGTATTTTACTGACATAGCCTAACTAACGAATTAAATATATTTCTTAATAAGCTCTAATTAATCTGAAATTTGTCAAATTCGTTATTCGTTGGTCATAGTAGTAAAACACTGAAAGTTGTGAGCTTATGTTGAGTACCTTAGCAGCTTTAGTTAGTTCAGTTCTTCAATATTTTTGTAAGAAACTTGCGGAAGTTGGCTTTGGAAGTTTCTCTCACGTACAATAAAATATTTCCAATTTTGAAACGTAATTCAGAATGTTCACAACAAACGAACAAACGTGAGAACTGCGCTTGGAAAAGTGATCTGAAATCGACAATAAAAAGTGTGGATGTTGGTTATAGTCGTGTACATTGAAGTGTTGCCAGCAGCAAAATAATGCAGAAATTAAACATGAGTAGAACCTTTTCTTTCACTACTCAGATTTAAGTAAATAAATGTAACCCTCGAAAAGTAGCCTATCTTTATCATTGGAGTGAATGTATAAAAGAGTCGCGACATGGCATTCGCACACTCAAAATGCCTTCTTTTAATATGAGTTATTTAAATCAAAACCTTTATTTATACACACTTTAGCTCCTAGTGGTCCTCCACTGGACATCAAGACCACATCAAGAAGTACATCATTGTCTTTAATCTGGGACCCTCCACAGGAAACTAAACAAAATGGCGTCATTATCAGTTATACAGCGTGTGTTTCGCATTCAGAAAATGGTCCTTGCTTTCAGAAATTTGTTACCAGTGAAAGAGAGTGGCTCGTCGGAAATTTAAATGCGTCAACAAAGTATTATGTTCGTGTTCTTGCAAGTACAAAAGTTGGCCATGGACAGTACAGTACAAGCAAAGGATATTTTACAAATGGACGTAAGTACATTAACAAAAAAATATCTGTCAATCGGATAAAGATTTTATTGCTTAGATGAATCATTTGTATTTGAATTAATATAAAGTATTTGCTGATTGGCTGTTCCTGCGTTACATATTACGCGAAGACGTGTTTGCGTGTATTCAACACCAAGGAAGACAACCAATTTGTTTTTCAAGTGTGGTAATATTGTGGCAACGCGATAACATCACTACAATATCATTACAATTTGAAAAACTTACACATAACCCCAAATATTGCAATACTTTTTTACATTTTGATACATTCACGCTTTCCTATACAGGAGCAGTAGAGAAGCCCATAGCTGCAACATTAAGTACACTTACATTTTCATTGGAAAATCCATCAACAAAATTTCTGTAAGTATATTTGACTTTTTGATTGTCTTGTAGATGAATACTTAGCAGGATACATTATTTAGCTAGGTTATGAAGATGGTAAATTTAATTTGACATATAGATATTTTTACGTGGTGGCTTTGAAATTAAAAGACGACAAAGAGCCCGCATCATCTGACAGTTACGAGAACAATGAGTTAGTGACGTATGCTGAGGCAAAACATTCAACTGATCCGAAACCTTATATCGCTGCAGTAGTTACATCCAGCGGTGTTGATGGAAACATGTTTATACTTGGAGATGGCAGCAATACAAATGATACAACTTCACGAAAACGTGGGTCAACTACGAGTGATTATTTTAATGGTCCGTTGGAACCTGGCACTGGTTACAGAATTTTTCAGAGGATAGTTATCAATGAAAAGGTATGCTATTAGGGGCAATAAACCTTCAGTTCAACCCAGTGGTCTATAAGTGAGACTGCATGATCGTACATAAGTGAGACTGGATTGTGCATATTGGCCGGATATGTTTCCAATACATAAATAAAGCCAAATAATGGCAGCCATATTTGTGTAACCAGTGCAAATTATTTCTGGTGTTGTTGACGTGTTAGGAGAGGACATACCCTATTTAGTAATAAGACGTTATCTGTACAGCATATCGTATTTCACATGCAGGTAAATAAATAATAGTCTTCTAACTGTATAGGGTGATTATTACTCTACCGACTGGAGTCCTGCGTCAAAAACAAGTGAATACCCAGGTAAATATCTGCGACGTATTATTTACGACGTATAGCTAGTAAATTTAGTCATGATAAAATCAATAATTAAAAATCCCAGATTGGAGTATAAATTTCTGGTAAAAGTGCTTTGTTACAGTCTTCAAATAGATAAAACTTCCAATCTTGCCAGTCATGTTTTTTTTTTGCTAAATTCCCCTCTTAAGGAATTTTCATTGGGCGAGTAGAGGCAAACATCTTTCTTTAAAAAAGGAAAAATGCGGGCCATCGAAGTTTTCCGAAAACGCGAGATGAAAGTGTTTCAATAACTTTAACTAATTTTAATATGTTACTGTAAGTTTGTAACAATGAATTTAAATCTGTATGAATACTAGATTGATTATGCGGATGTGATTTTATATTTTGGCGCATGGGGCAATCAATATCCGTGTGTCAACACAGGAAAATATATTTTCAAAATTTGGAATCCCAGAAATATGCTATTTTCTGCACCCCTGACCAGTTAGGACCAATGGTTGAGGCTATCTAGAAAGTACGTAGCTATATCAGTTTAGATTCAATCTTAGAATTTATTCAAAAGTTTTTTAACTTAAATACCATGTCTAGAGTTCTGATTTCTATAATCACAAATAGCAGAAAAGAAGACTCTGAAAATGCCATTTACAACGATCTAGAGACTCAAAATTTTTCGAAATTTTCCTGCTTGGCGCCGACCATAGTTGCGCCTCGTGGGAGTTGGGCCCACTAAGTTTAACAAGCTTCCTACCCCTGAGTGACCCAGTTGTGGTATTTACATAAACATACCATGCAAGTACACTTAACTGATCAGATTCGGTCTATCAAAGCACAATGTAACGCTGTATATCCAAAAATCTGTTTCAGAAAATGCTCACATTTCAGTCCTAGGAGTGGAAAAATACAAAACATTTTCTGGGAGAAAATACCCCCTACTAGTGCATACGATACCACACCAAACTTTTTGTCATCTGTCATCTCTCCACACTCAGTATAGTATCAGGTCCCTTTTTGTAGATGCCCACCCCCCAGACAAGTTCTTAAAAAAAGCCCTGTGTTCAAATCACTTCGCTGTATGAAGACGGGTCATGGGTTTGGGTAGGACAAATGTTGCACTGCAAAGTCGTAACACATAACATATATTTTTAAGGTCTTTTAATAATATATGGTTGAATCATATTCACCAGGGTAAAACTAACTTTACCTGCACTTTACCTGGAGGGGGGTGTGTCAGAAAAGTTTCTACTTTTATGAGGGGGAGGCACAGAAAGTTGCCTTCAGTCTGGAGGGGGGGGTCAAAAAAGTTTTCAATCCTTATTTTCCCCATTTATCACCCCCCCCCCCCC